TGTTGATTTCGACGCGTAGATGGTACCCGTCGTTGATGATATTTGAAATTGTAATAAGCTGGTGGGCTGATGGGCCAATCTCGGAGATGGTTCCATCTGTTGTTGAAATTCCTTTCAACTGCTGCTGGACCGTTACTCGAATGACCATCACGATTAAATCCTATATTACAAAAGACAGTTTATGCAAGGAATGAACTCAAAAAGATTTTGTTACCAATCGACATCAATGGCATGGGATTCTTTGAAGAGGATAATGCCAAAACTAGTGTACTGTCGCTAGATGAAGTTGTAGAAAAAAATTGTGGTCGAAAAGTGTCAATTCTACAATGCAAAATTCGCAGGAATAAACGATTAGAAAAAGATGGAGAGAAAGTCACAAGCCATTGATATATATTCCAAATTTACCTATTCAACGTGTGCATACGATCTTCGCTGGTGTTCATCATCCGAACATCATCATGATCGTCATCATAAAAAAGTCGACATTTCCATTGAAGACATAGAACGGATCGGCGAACAACCAAATTCACGTTTTGGTTGATTTGATGGTGGAGGACTCGCACCAGTTCCTCGATCAACCATCTTACGTCTATCACCCATCATAGTTAACTAGAAAAAGGCATCAGGTTTTGTTAAGTTCAAACAAATTCATGGTTTCCAGATAGAATCATTTCTTACTGAATGTTCTGGAAAATGATATTTAGAAAAAGGAACATACTTGTTGAGAACAGCTCATTGCAAGATGAATATTGATTGAGAACAACCGAACTAAAAATAGAAAAGCTCAATAGAATTGATCATTAAAAGATCGATAACCAAAAAGGCACTGCATCTTCTTTTTCTTCAACGACAAGATCTTTCGAAAATGTATCCTCTCTTTTCCTCGCACGCCATGTGTGAAAGGAAAGAAGACGGCAAGCGAGCTAAACAATCCTTGTCCACAAGCGACAACGGTCGAATTCATCGATCGATATTTTTCAAACAGAAAACTAATCGTTTCTTGTGAGAAAACCAACGAATTGAATAAAAAAAAAACGTTTCTATACTGTTCATAAAATGAGAAATATTTCTTCGAGAAAAAAAAATCGTTCTTATTCGATAAACGACAAATCAACAAAAATAGGCTTCACCGAATTGAATATTTCAACATATTCTCAGTTCGATTCAATCAGATCTCAAAATCAATCCAAATGTAGGCGCGAAAAGATCCAAGTCTTGTTTCAAACGAACGATCTTTTCTTCTTCTTCTTGCCATTAGGTCTCGTTGATACACGTGCATGTCTGAGACGAGTAGGCCTGTTCGTTTATCATCTAGACAACCAAAAGAGAAAAGAAACGAAATGAACAAATCGAATCGAATTGAATTTCATTCGGAAATTATATTGAGGGAATAAATGAAATGCAAATGAGAACACAAATTCCAACTGGGTCTCTCTTTGTCGATTTTGATCCAAAGCCAAAGATCAACCGAATGATCGGCAGAAAAGACTGATTTGAACGATTTTTGATCGTTGAAAATCGATGAAATTTATATCACTCGATAGATCATGAAAAACTGAATCTATAAGAACATTTTTGAAGAAGTTTTCTGATAATCTGCGAAAAAGATTGCAGAAAAAAAGAATTGTTCAATGAGAATCTCGTTTCGATTGTTTTTTTCTCTTCGTCGTCTTTTTTTTTCTTCGTTAAACATGCACATGTTCGATGGATAGTGTTGTTCGTGAAGGACGTACACACGTACGTACAAGAAGATGAAAAAAGGAATTTGTCTTGATCATCTGAAATTGATCAATAATGAGGATACTGATGATGATGGTAGGGAGATAAATTCCTAATCAAATACTCGAGTATCAATCGTCATTCTTAGAAAAAACTTGAACAGTTATTCTCAATAAAAGCCTTAGTATTTCTGAGATCAAGAAAATGACGAAATGGAATCAGAAAATATTTGACCATGCATTGAATAGTTTTTCGATTCGTTTCTCGCTTTTGGAAGTATATTGGTTGACGAGCTTCGGCTTTAAATGATTTCAAAACAAACATAAACAAAATCTTTCCTTCAATATCTTCGAGTCTAATTGCATCGTTGCACGGCTGTCTTCTTTTTTTTTTCTTGATCAACCGTTATTTCAAACTAACGTCAGAGAGAAAAAGATTTTCATCATGTGCGTTTACCGAACGATCCAATCAGGTTCTCAATAATTCCAGACAGTTTTCATTAAAACCAATCACAGAAAAGAGAAATGATCCTAACGAGTGAAACCGAAAACGANCGATCTTTTCTTCTTCTTCTTGCCATTAGGTCTCGTTGATACACGTGCATGTCTGAGACGAGCTCGTCTCAGACATGCACGTGTATCAACGAGACCTAATGGCAAGAAGAAGAAGAAAAGATCGTTCGTTTGAAACAAGACTTGGATCTTTTCGCGCCTACATTTGGATTGATTTTGAGATCTGATTGAATCGAACTGAGAATATGTTGAAATATTCAGTTCGGTAGAACCTATTTTTGTTCATGAATGTCTCATCAAGTAAAATAACGAACGAGTTAGTTTTGAAAAAAAGATTTTTTTAGAAGAGAGACTGTGATATTTCGAACAATTTCCAATCTTCTTATCGATTGAATTGATCAATTTTATCATTGGAGAAAGCTAAGATTCTCATTTCAATCAATTGTTGGAAAGGTTGGATCATTTCGTTGGACAAAACATGCTTAGCTTGTTCGTTGTCTTCTCCTCTCATGCACATGGCGCGCGAAAAAAAAGAAAAAACATATCGAAGAGATCTTTCAGTGTCGATCTCAGAAGGATGAACCAGCTTTCAGTCGTGGACGTGTCGAATAAATAATCTCTTTAAAATGTTTCATTTTAGATTAATCATTTATTGAGTTTTCGGTATATCGTGAGTACATTTATTCGTTCGATTGTTGTATCATTGTGTGAAAATGAAGGGTACCTTGAAAATCAATGTTGATGTATCTATGTATACATCCGTTGAATTATTGAAAGATCTTCGCGTGATAAATGAGATTTCGAAGAAAGTAATCGATATTTTACAAGAAAAAGGACAGGAAGCGCGTTCAAGTGTCATTGACAAGGCCAGTAAAAATGCCGTATCTCTTCTTTTATCGAAGAAGAAAGGAAAAGTAGGTTCAGTTTTATCTGTTTATTTACCGACAAATACGATAGAACCATTACACGATACAGTTGTGCCTACTGTTTCGTCCGATGAAGATTCATCGGTAAGAAGTGTTAGTGAAGATGATGACACTGAAAGCGATAGCTGCGACAGTCAAAACTCCTCAGCTAGTTCTCAAAATCAACACATTTTTTTCAGTATGTAATGAGGGAATAAAGGTAGATATGACATTTGAATATTTGATCGATTACTTCAAATATTCTCTTTCAAAATCCAACAGACCAATGAATCTTGACAGAATTCTTCATGATATCTGTACGTATGTTTTTCTTCAGCTGAAATCTTCTATCCATGTTCGTGAATTGAGAAAAGAACTAAGCTTACAGATAAGTCATATCGTTCAGTCAGCGCGTGTTCATGCTGCTGGTAAAAGCGTAATACGTATTCTACGTAAGACCAGTAGTTTTAGTTTATTCTTTAAGTGCCTTCGTCCTTTAACTGAAGTCGTCTCAATTGGAGATTTTATTCAATATCGAAATGACGATAAATTAAGTCCTATCCTGTTGATTCGTAAAAATAATAATGAATCAGATGTTTTTCAGTTTTATCCATCGTCGAACATAGTAGAAATAACGTTCAATGATACGCTCATCAAGAAAATTCTGTCTTCGTTTGACCTGTTAGGAACACTAGATATCGATGAACTTTCATATCTTATCAATGAATGTACTTTCATGTGTGATCTGAAACTAGATACTCTAGCTCTTGAAGAAGCTCTTAAAACGAAAATTCTATTTGATTGTACATCAGCTAGCTCTAGTTCTTTTTTTCGACTGTAGTTAGAAAAGCTGAACAGATAGATGAGCTTCGAAACCAAGATGATCAAGTTCCTACCGAAACCTCGCCTTCTTTGAGTGAAGAGGAAATAGATGCTATCGTAGGTCGAACATATACGACACGAGGTATTAAACGTTCGTACGAAGAAGATCCGATCGTCATTGAACCAAATCGAAATGAGTATCGTCAAAATAAAATGATCAAAGATAAAAGAGATTTATTACATTTAAAAGATACTTATTATCTTACAGATGCTGCTTTAAAAGCGATCTCTCAATATGTTCGAAGTAAAAGAAAACTGTTTTCGTTAAAAGAAATCGAAAGACTAAGGAAAAAAACCAATAGCAGATTTCCTATTCTACATACTAAAACAAGTGCATACGTCAGATTTGAATATGCTGTGCGTACAGCTATATTCGTTGCGCGGAAATACGAACAGAAACTCGATCAATTCGATACACTGAACATCCGTTTCAATATGGATGGCACTTTGATAGGAAACAAACATATAGTCGCAATATCTATTAATTGTCTTGAAGGCGGTAATCAATGCCAGTCTGCAAAGAATCTTGTTCCATTAGGTCTTTTTGAGGTACAGAAAGAAAACACAGAATTACTGCGTCAGAGTTTACCCGCAGAGTTCATCACTGATATAAAATCTGTCAAATATATTTCTATAGGCGCAAAAAATATTGCCATCCGTATTCGACTAGGCGGTGATCTGATGAACGCAGTTTATGTATTTGGACTTGCTGGATTTAGTTCTAATTATCCATGCACTTTTTGTACACAACATAAAGATGATCTTCATGTCACAGAAGATACAGCTTATGATAAAACTATCACAGAAGGAAAAGGAAAGAATAAGCAAACGTTCACTATTCGTGTAGGTCCTACTTCATATCATGACTCTTCTAAAAAAGCACGCTCTCTTGTTGAACAAACTCTATGCTTAGCCAAAAACGCCAATGAGTTAGGTTATAAATGTGAACCTCTTTTTGGAGATCTCTTCGATTATCAAGATTACTGTGTTGATACACTTCACATGAAACTGAGAATTTTTGATGTTATT